ATGGACAGAAACTGGAAGCATTTCCCCTGAAAACCAGAAAAAGACAAGGCTGCCCACTCTCACCCCTTCTGTTCAACACTGTGTTGAAGTCCAAGCTAGAGCAATTAGACAAGAAATGGAAATCAGGTATCCAAAAAGGAAAAGAAGAAATTACATATCCCTCTTTGCTGGTATGATCCTATACCTTGAAAATCCAAGAGAATCTGTCAAAAACCTCCTTGCACTGATAAAGGACTTTGGCAAAGTCCCGGGGTACAAAATAAATGTGCAAAAGACAGTCACATTCTTATATACCAACAACAAACAGGCAAAGAACCAAATAAAAAGCACAATCCCATTCACAATAGCCACACACACAAAAAGAAATACCTCCCTAGCCGGGCAAGTGAAAGATCTTTAAATGAAAACTACAAAACACTGCTCAAAGAAATCTAAGAAGACACAAACAAATGGAAAAATATTCCATGCTCATGGATTGGAAGAATCAACATTGTTAAGATGTCCATTCTACCCAAGGCAATCTACAGATTCAACGCAATACCCATTAAACTACCAACATCATTCTTCTCGGACCTTGGAGTGACAATACAGAAATTCATATGGAAACATAAATGACCACAAACAGTCTAAACAATCCCCAGTAAAAGAAACAAAGTGGGAGGTATCACACTTCCAGAATTTAAACTTTACTATAAGGCTACAATAATCAAAACAGGCTGGGCTCAGTGGCTTAGCCTGTAATCCCAGCACTTTGGGAGGCAGAGGCAAGTGGATTGCCTGAGCCCACAGGTTTGAGACCAGCCCGGGCAACCTGGCGAGACTTCATCTCTACAATAAATCAAAAATTAGCTGGGTGTGGTAGCGCATGCCTATAGTTCCAGCTACTTGGAAGGCTGAGGCAGAAGAATCACCGGAGTACAGCGGGTCGACACTGGGGTGGCCGTGAGTGTGCCACTGCACTCCAGGCTGGGTGACAGAGTGAGATTCCAACTCAAAAAAAAAAAAAAAATCAAAACAGCCTGGTATTGGGACAAGAACAGGCAATATAGACCAACGGAACTTGACAGAGATTCCAGAAGAAAAACCTCAATTTGTCATCAGTTTGTCTTTGACAAAGCCTCCACCACAACCACTGCAGAGAGGAGAACCTATTCAGTAAATGGTGTTGGGAAAACTGGTTGACCATATACAGAAGATTGAAACAGGACCCCTATCTATCACCATACACAAAAATCAACTCTAAATGGATTAAAGACGAAAACATAAAACCTCAAATTATAAGAATCTTAGAAAATACAGGAGACACCCTTACTGAAATCAGAGTAGGCAACCAATTCCTGATCAAAACCCCAAATGTCCATGTCAAAAGAGACAAGATAAACAAGTGGGATCTCATTAAACTGAAAAGCTTCTGCAAAGCAAAAGAAATCACCAAGAAAGCGGGGAGACAGCCCAGAGTGGGAAAAAATATTTGTCAACTATATATCTGACAGAGGTTTAACATCCAGGAACTACAAGGAACTCAAACATGCCAAAAGGAAAAAACAAACAGCCCCATTAAAAAGTGGACAAAAGACATGAATAGATACTTCTCAAAAGAAGATATACAGGTAGCCAACAGACACATGAAAAAGTGCTCAGCCTCACTAATCATCAGAGAAATACAAATCAGATCCATACTGAGTTACCACCTAGCCCCAGTAAGAATGGCCATCATTAATAAAACAACAGATGCTGGAGAGGATGTGGAGAAAAGGGAACGCTTCTAAGCTGCTGGTAGGAATGTAAACAAGTTCAACCTCTATGGAAAACAGTGTGGCAATTTCTAAAAGAACTAGAACTTGACCTCCCATACAACTCAGCAATCCCCCTACTGGGAATATAACCGGAGTAACTCAAATTATTCTACAAAAAATACCTGCATACGCTATTTACTGCAACACCATTCACAAGAGCAAAAACATGGAACCAACTGTGCTGCCCATCAAAACTGAACTGGATTAAAAAAATGTGGTACATATACACAGTGGAATATTATGCAGCCATAAAGAAGAATAAACATATGGACTTTGCAGCAACATGGATGAATTTAGAGTCTATAATACTCAGAGATCTATAACAGAAATAAAGAACAGAGTACCACATATTCTCACTCATAAATGGAACCTGAATATTTAACATAATACTATAAGAAAGGGATTGGCATTAGCGGGATACTGCCGGGGTGGGGGGGGGGTCACAAAATCAACAGGGGTACCTGATCTCAAACAAGGCAAAGTGGGGACCAAAGGGAGGCCCAAACTTTACTTGTACGATGTCCACTTGTATGCCTAATCCTGAATTGTACCCCACAGCTTTAAAATAAAACAAAACTTTTTTAAAAAGAGAGATAGGGTCTCTTTGGTCCAGGTTGCCTCCATCTCCTGGCCTCAAGCGAGCCTCTCATCTCACAAATAGCTGGGATTATAGGTGCTAGCCACCATGCATAGTTACTTTTTTTTTTCTTACAATGATTAAATATGACTTTTAAATTTAAAAATAATTTTAAAGGGGAAAAAGAGCAAGTAATGGAGATTTGAAATTAAATAAAGAGAAAATCAAATGATAACAAGAGACAAGCACAGCATAAAAATCAGTCAAACAAGGAGCAGGGTTACTGGGAATTATCTGTCTAAGAGTAGACCAATGAGATCTCTAGAAAAGATTAGACATGTTCCAAGACAATGGTGAGAATAAAATACAGTCAATCCTCTGTATCCATGTGTAGGGTCCACATCTGTGGAGTCAACCAACCACAGACATAAAACATTTGGAAGAAAAAAGGATAGTTCATCTCTACTGAACATGTGGATATTGTTCTTGTCATTATTCCCTAAACAATACAGTAGGACAACTATCCACATAGCATTTATATTAAAGGTATTTTAAGTAACCTAGAGTATGTATGATGGTGATATGCATATACTACACCATTTTATATCAAAGACTTGAGGGAATCAACCCCGTATGGATACCAAGAGACAATATACTACAGCTCTTTTGTCTAATAAGGCAGTCACAAGATATAACAAACTGACTAATCCAAAATGAGTTGTTATTAGAGTAAGATACACAATAGATTTTGAAGACTTACTATGAAAAAAAGGAATATAAAACATCTCTCACAAAAGAAGACATTCAAGAAGCTAACAAACACATGAAGAAACGCTCAACCTCACTAATCATCAGGGAGATGCAAATCAAAACCACACTGAGATACCACCTAACTCCAGTCAGAATGGCAATTATCAACAACTCAAAAAATAACAGCTGCTGGAGAGGGTGTGGTGAAAAGGGAACACTTCTACACTGCTGGTGGGAGTGTAAACTAGTGCAACCTCTGTGGAAAGCAGTGTGGCAATTCCTAAAAGCTCTAAAAATTGACCTTCCATATGACCCTGCAATCCCCCTACTGGGAATATACCCTGAAGAACACAACTCACTCTATAAAAAAGAT